GGTTCTTCCCTATCTTGAAATTATTTCAGGAATGTATGTGGACCATTGTTAATTTGCTTACTGGTGCAAACCGTGATAGGATTGGACTGATGATAGGATCTGGTACGAAATCTGTTTGTCACGGAAATTTCTTAAATTGGCAAAGGATACATTTAGGAAAAGAAAACTGAAGAAGCACGTGCTGTTATGACTCTGGGTTTCGTTTCCCCATAGTTTGTGTAGCAATTGGGTTATCTTTCAAATCACTTGGATTTTTTGGTGCAAACATTGAACATCACTTGTATGCTCTAAGTATTGGTTCTTCTCCGTCGTAGCTTTGCAGTGGCCCCTACTCTCTTAGTTCTTGATGAAAAGATAGCAAACGATGGATTTTCAATCACTTCTGGAATAGAGTAGTGACTTAGTTATCTTCTCGTTTATTTGTTTGACGATTGTTTAATCAACAATCCTTAAACGATTCATCATGTACCATAATGTTAACATACAGCGTAGCACATTTCGCCACTTAGACATGAGAATTATTACATGTACATGTAAGACTGGGCTAGATTAGCAAGATGTCAAAGGTGCTGAGCTGTATACACGTATTCAATGGTTCGATCCCTACTAAGCCGTCATAGGTCGTCAATTTGGTATAAAACTTGTATGATAGGGTGAAAGACGCTGACTATATTCATTGACAAGCCCATCGTAAGTCACTATACAGGCCAAATATAAATTCAATCACCTCTACGTTTCTCGATGAAGTCGAAGCGATGGGGTCTTGCTCAAGGATTGATAAACGCGGAGCACTTTATCGTCTAGCTTTTCGTTCGAGAGATATAAGTGAATCCGTCATGGCGAAGTCTATTCGCTTAATCCACTCCCTCTATTCACCATTCTGTGTGAACGTAGCAAGCTGTTTATGATGACTAACTTCCGTTATGCCGGTGATGACTCTGCCATGTGATTTTAGGTGTGTTCTTCATTCTACCAAATCTTCTGTCAACACCAGATCCTCGACTAACCGAACGGACACTGAATGCGATGCGCTTGCTACTACCTCTATATCCAGAACATGTTAGCTATGTTTCGGATTCAAATATGTTGGACTTCGTGGAACCGAGTCTGCTTGAGAATGATGCACACCTGCAGGTGATGATATTGGACTGAGTGGACAGCCGTTTATCCACGAAATTGTGGTGATAGTAGATATTATGCTTGTTTTTAGGAGTTGAAGAACGAGATTGAGATTTTTATAAACGCCACAGCAGCACCAGCTTTGCCACCGTGTGCATTCTCATTTGTAGATCAACAATAAAATATGGAAGTTATACCGACGGCACAATAAAAATAACCTCTCAAGTTTCCTTCGAACAGACAAGAATAGAGACATTTGGATTTGTGATTTTTAGCGGTGCGACCCTCCCAATGGTTTACCGCCTCATCGTGACTGGGAGGTGCTCTTGGGTGTCGGACTGCGATGTACAGCGGTGGGATTCGTCCCGCCGGCAAGATCTCCCAAGCTGAAAAGGAGTCCGGCGTTTCTACAGGAAGCCCAGCTAAGAGTAAACCAATACAAGGATACGCCGCCGTCCTGGTATCAAAGTCGCATGGTGGCAAATCTCCCTCTGATCCACGAGGGCTGCAACACGGTTGTGTGCGAAAAACTGCATGTCCTTTGAAACTATCATTTTAGGGCTACAATATCTCACCCAGTTTTCTTTGACACTCTTCCTATTTTTCTCATCAAGATTTATTCCATCACCAAGCAACGTTGTTCCTTTAAGTGTTCACCTTCTTCTACGAAATCAGAATGTTATATGTTAAAACCAAAGGAAGGTAGCTGCCACAAAACATTGAAAGGATCTTTTATCCCTTTTGAAAGTAGTAACTGTGATTCTGGCCACGATCGTAGTAGTTGAATTAAATGGCAGTCTAGTTTTTCAATGAAGAGCCACATACCTTCAATATGATGCACTTCGCCCTTTTTTGCTACCCAAATTAGCCTGAACGGTTTGATCTCCACTGGGAGTCCGGAATGGATATGAAACATTGCCGATAGGAACCTGTGTTCCATGAAAATCGTCTAAATTTACAAAGGGCTTTATCGGAAATGTAACGGCCTACGTTTGTGATGAAATTCTGTTAGAATAACACAGGTCTAACTTTGTAGCGCTAGCAAAATGTACATGAAATCGCCACGAAAGGAACTGGATAACGGTTAGTTCTGAATCTTACAGCCAGTCTACATTACCATCTGTAGTTTTCAAAGCTACGTAGAGGAGTAGAAAGCTAGCTTGATTTTAGAGTCTAAAATTTCTCGCTACAAAATAGTCGTTTTAGCCAGGACAAATCTTAACTAGGGAACAAATCATAAGGGCTACGACAGAGGGAGAATACTAGAGAATGCCAGCGATCTCACTGCAGGTGAATTTCTGCTGATAGGATATCAGTCTGTAAGGAATGAACATTTTTGCTGCTTTTTAAAAATGGTTTTCATACACTGCATGGATTTCTTTTGCAACACTTATCTTCCGTTGTGAGGATCGCAGCGCTTTTCCCATTCGATTCGTTTCTTCTCATCCACCATTCATAAAAGTCTTCGTACTTTTCACGTGTGAGGTTGACGGTTGCTTAAAGATTGTTGCCTTCCTTATGAATTTCCGTGGATGCTTTCCGAGTTGATTTTTATTGCTCAAAAGTCGATCTTGGGACAAGTTTGCACTTAGGGCATTCATAGGTCTCGTGTATCTTGGGGCCTTAACAGTCTCAATTCTCCTACCAGTCCCACGACTCTTCGGGAATGAGAAGCTCGGTTCTCCTTGACTAAGTTCGCGCTGAGGTTATGAACGGATCGAACGATCTTAATGCCACCTGTCCTTGGCATGTAGTATCACCAAATTGAAGAAAAAATAAATCTTTTGGCTTTGAAGAAATTGAAATCATCCAAACACGAAACTTTTAGCACAAGCACAGCAATACTAATGAAAGAGAGAAGATGATTAAGGAGCTCATCAAAAAGGAGAAAAGAAGATTGAAAACGAATCTGAGGAAAACAGAGTAGAAGACACATAGAAGCCTATGCTGCGACGTATAGGAAACGGAAATGAAGAGTTCATTCTTCCATGAGCGTCACCTTTCAATCAGCAACGAAAACGACATGAAAGAGGGTCCGACCACTTACTCACCAAGCCAGTGATATACTCAAAACACAATTATCTCTTGACAGTGTTAACTTTTTATTTACTACTTATTGTAATTGTTCATGGGAAAGTATTACGTGTGGTACAAGCACTATGATGCTGAGATATTTGCAAAGCTCAGGACATCAGGTGTTTTGCGGTGGAGAACGAAGGCGCTGTCACCTTTCCCGGGGGCTAACGCCCTCACCACCACACCATGCGGGTCCTTCGTTTCGTCTCTCTCTCTCAGTTAGTTCTATCGATCTGCACCGTCAACAATCACCCATCAACGGGATTGATCTAGGGATCCCAAATAGGCAACGAACCCAGTTAAGCTGAAGCTGTACTCAAAAGAAAACAAAACACCTGCGGTCCAGAGTTTTCCAAATATCTCAGCATCATATTGGTTGTATCACACGTAATACCCTGCCATGAAAAATTATTACAGGCAGTGAATAAAAAGCTAGCATTGTGATTTCAACTATAGCCTCAGCTTAACTGGCTTCAATGCTGATTTGGACTCCCATGATCAATCCCAATAACGGGTGATTGCTATTGGCAGTGGTCGATAGAATTAGCTGAGAAAAAAGCGAAACGAAGGACCTACACGGTGTGGTGGTGAACACGTTACGCCCAGAAAGGGTAATAGCGCTTTCGTTCCCACCGCAAAACACCTGCGGTATGGAGTTTTGCAAATATCTCAGCATCATAGTGGTTATCTCTTGACAGTTCTTCACCGTCCTGGTATTCAACTGAGAGGTGATTTGATACCCTATCGACATTGAGAACTTCACGCACCACTTGCAAACATCCTGAGCGGTGTCGATATCAAATAAGATAGCGCAGTTCACATCTTCGAAAATTATTTCGTCTTCATGATTCAGGAAAACATATGCTGAACGCGAAACATAGGCCGGTCATGTGACCAGAAGAACTGACGAAAAATGAATCCGCAGTTATAATTAACTAACTAATTAATTAGAACTGAGATTTGATCAATAAAACTTAGACCGTCTTCGGCTTAACTCCTATGTTGCACCTCCAGCAACTCTCTAGCATCTTAACTGAATTACCAATGTGGAAAAAAAACGTCTGCTAAATAAAGCGATAACACTAATACTTTGAAACGTTAACCCCACTGCTTGAAGCCCCATCTTTGGCATACATTGTCCCAGAAATTGAAACATTCCCGAACTTCGACTTCTGAACACATCCTTCTGAAAGAATCCTCATCAAAGCTAGTAATTTCTCAAGAAATGCACCACAATTCAACAACTTCTTTTCAGCGTGCAGTAGTTCCGTCAGTTCTTTGGTAATTCCCAAACCCAAATTGCAGGGATACGTATCCAAAGCACAAAAAAACCCACAAACTTCTTAGGCATAAATACAGAATTTATTACTTAAAAACAGCCAAACAAAAAAAATAACAATGATGTATAAACATATTCGTAAGCTAATTTTAATTTTGAGTAATATTAACTATTAATAAACACACGTCAAGGGTAAATATTTTAATCAACCTATGTCTGTAAAAAAATTCCTAAATATGAGTAAACATTTAGCCATGAGGTCGATTTGAAATAAAGAACATCGAATAACAAATAGCTTTCATACAATTTCTATTGTGGCGCCAGCATTCTCAAGAGTTGCCTTCATTTCTTCGGCTTCAGCTTTTCCCATGTCTTCTCTAACGACTACTGGTGCTGATTCCACAAACTAAAACACTCTTCAGTCATCGGTTGCATGACATGACACATGTAGTAATTGTCCACTAGGAAAAATTCACAGCACACCTTTTTCGCCTGAACAAGGTTGAGACCAGGGATGGTTGATCGGATTTCTTTGATAAGTGCTATCTTTTTAGAATCATCAAACTTCGTCAACTTAACGGAGTACGTTATCTTTTGAGGAACATCGGAAGAGGAATCGCGTTCTGCTTCTGAGAGTAGTGTAGAATTTAATTAGTTTGAGAGGTAGGGTACTGAACTTTTGTTTGATTCTAACGTAAAAAAATAAGATATCGTCCTACGAAGAACAGCTTAAACTTTAAAGTGGGAATAGTGCGCGAAAACCACGAAGGCCAATCAGCTGTAGATTACGCAAGAATCCTAACACTGACGACGGCATTCGAAGATTCGACAATGCACGCAGTAAAGACTAAGTATGACGCCTTATTGGACTGACAAAAGTGAAAATTTACTGTCAGTTATACATCCTATTTCTAAACTGCAAACCAAATAAGGTCCAATACTAAACTAATACCAGTTTCCACCACCGTCCTGGTATCAAATTAGTCGCATGGTGGCAAATCTCCCTCTGATCCACAAGGGCTGCAACTGCCTGCGGTGGTCAGACCTGGGGCAGACTTTGGCCAGGATGATCTCGGGATTCCAGGAAAACACAATGGCTTAACCACCAAATCTCCGAAAAAATGGAGATTATACTGGAGCCCGCACAACCAGTGAGGACGAGCCATTCAAGTACCAAGTTAGAAAACTGCAAGCATGAAACCACCTCTAGGAGCTTTTAACAGTAAAGCCAGGAAAATTTCGAGTGTTTGTTAACATGAGTACTGGTCATGGTTATAAATGCTATCCTTATACTTATAATGGGCAAAAACGGAACGTCGTTGTCTCGACTGTGCATCAAAAGCAAATATCTCTTCTGATTGAATTTCGTGCGACGTAAAGTTAACATTGAAAAGTCAGTGAACAAAAAATGACAAATCGTTAACGTACCTGTGGAAACAGCATTAGCCGAGTGAGCGGCCATCATCATACCAGCAGGCATCATTGGCTGATCAGCAATATTTAGACGCTTTTTCAATGCTCGGTTTAAATCTGCTACCTGCAAGAAATTAATAAAACGATGCTGTTTCCGAAATCGGCCACATAGAAATAACCTGGACAAAACAAACTTCAAGCAAGCTTAGATTGGCTATCTCATCCACAAGCGCTGCAACTTTTGGTGAAACCAGGTCATCAGAAGGAAGGGACATGGGAGAGCCTTCATTTAACTGCAAGCCTGTAAGAAGGAATGAAATGATCACTACCACAATTACTGCATAGAAAACCTTTACACTTGTCTCGGGTTTTACAGGTAACAGGATTCCAGCTTTTCAATCATTATTTACGAGCCCAGTAAGTATTCAAATGAGGGGATGAAGGACATAGAGTTCTGCTGAACTTATCCATTAGAAATGCACCATGTATCAGGCTCCATTAAGAATGAATGCACTGTTTCGCCTGCAAACTAATGCGCTGTGGCCCACCGAAGTCCCAAGTCAGTGTTTTTATAGGTTATGAATGTTTTGCGGAAAAAAATTTTCTACGGAAACAAGCCAGGTAATTCTATATTATAGTAGAATTCTTCAAGCTGCTCATGGTTGCCTTCTCTGCTAAAACAATGGAAATAAAAGGCTTCATACCAACTGTGATGACCTTACAGTCGAGTAGAAGAATGCAATCAGCAACTCTGGTGCCTAACGGAGACGGATGGAGATTATTGGTGCCCACACAAGTTATTAGACGATTAGCAGAATCAGGTCATACGAGCAAGGAAGCCTTGGGAGCATCAGTATCCTCTGAACAACCCAAAGACATTGTCTTCCTACCGATTCTGAGGTGGATTTCAAGCAACAGACACATTCCTATTTCTTCTTGAATTATTCACCTGGCACGAGGCTTAAGGGTCTTGAAGGCCGACCCTTTAATAGAGTATAAGGGAACAAAGTCTCTATGTGAACCTCGTTGTGTCTCAGGACAGGTCCTATTCACAAACAGCGGGCTCCGCCTTTGATCCTTGATATAACTAAACTCTGTGATCTCCAAACATCAACGAAGAAGTCTGTCCAGGTTTACGTTCCGTTGTCAAACAATATTTGGTTTCCCTAGTGAAGATTTAAAGTTTGCCCTGTCAATCGGTGAGAGCTTCAGCGAGAGAAATCCTACATCACGAGAACCAATAACGAAAACAAATTGAAAAAATAAAAGGCTGCAACAAATAGTGACTATGAATTCACTATACTCAGTCATTCCCATATGCTAAGGATATCTGAAATCAGGAAAACGTAACGTACCAGTAGGTTTAGGAGTGGACAAACGCCGTAATCCACATTGAGCCATCCCAAAAAGTGTTGTTCGAAATTTTGGTAGAAAAGACATCTAGGAAGAAAGTAGGACAACTGACTAACAGAAAGATCAGCAGAACACAGCAATCCAAAGCGGTTTGAGGGAAGAAAAACGGAAGTCACGCAATCCGCGCCAACCCCGGGAGACAGACGCATGGGTAGTGCTGAGCTAGCGATACTTCAGTTGCACCACTGTCTTTTGTTGTTGCGATTTAAGCTGTCGTCCGTCTGTCGACTATTGTTGTTGTTGTTTAAGTTTTGTGTCAAAGTACATACTGGTAGATTAATTTACTCTGAAATAACTGGTAATGTGATTTGATGTAAAGTGCTGGGATACCGGGATACTTGGACGACCCGTCTCCACTGGTTGTGCGGGCCACAGCACAATTTCCACTTTTCGGAGTTTTGCTGGCTTAGCCATCGTCGTTTCTTGGAGTCCCGAGGTCAGCCTGTCTGCCCCGGGTCGTTACCACTACAGGTAGTCGCCGCCGTTGTGGATCAGAGGGTTTGCCACCATGCGACTACTTTGATACCAGGACGATGGTGGGTCTTGGTATTAGCCTACACTTAGATAGGTTTACTGATGGAAACGTCGAACTTTTTCTCAGCTTGGGAGACCCTGCCGGGTGACGACACCCAGGAACGCCTCCCAACCACGATAAGGCGGTAAACCGTTGGGAGGCATGTAAAGTATAGCGTATATGTACGAATGACGCGATGACTTACTGCTTGGATACTTGGATACTTGGACGGTCCATCCTCACGAGCTGTTTAGACCCCAGCACATTTGTCATTCGTTTCCTTCCCTCGCAGTAGTCGTCTTTGGTGGTGTCGTCTATTTCGGTGGCTTTATTCGAGCATGGTGGTGCGTGCGGGTCTCATGCGGTGATCTGTAAAACAAATGCATCTGCAAGTACAGCCGACCAACTTTGGTTACGAACAGGTCCACTCAACGTGTAGCTGGCCGTGTTTAGGTACCCCTGCATTCTTGCGTGCTCCACTCTACAGTTCTTTTCGCCCTTCTGTCATCCGTCCTTCCAGTTATGTGATCGGCTCTTCTGTGTTTCGCTATATTGAGATGACTTATTACACTCATATTTCTCAAGTTCGTATTTTGTCTAGATGTTATGTACCAGAAGCGCTGTTTTCTATTTTCTGTTCAGACGCGGGGTACTATATCTTGGAGTTAGCTTGTAATTTCATATGCTTCAATTCACAACTGAACTTTTAACACATGACAGTCGAAATGCGTTGATTCCAATGCGCACAGAGCGAAAACAAAGGTTGCTTCCAAGTTTAAATTAGCATATTTCATCTCAAGATCATTGTACAAAAATTGTGAATAGGTTTTCTATTTTGTGGATTACAGCTCGTCTTCTATCTCTATGCCTCTGCTTTTAATCACGTGATTGAGTGACTTAATTTATATGTTGTAAAATATCCACAGAGCGCGTGTGGCGCAGTGGTTCGAGGCGCCACTGCAACACACACGTGGAATCGATCCCCGCCTCTATGGCCCACTAAGCCTTCCATCCCTCCGGGGTCGGCAGTTTGGTACCACACTTGTCTGGGAGGATAGCAACACTGGCTCGATGCATCAGTATGCCACTGCGAGTCATTGTAAAGGCCAGCTATGCATTCAATCACCTCCAACGATACTTAATGAGGTTGAATGCGTGGGATTGATCAACGCCGAGAGCTTTATCCTTTTTAAAATATCCATACATTGGCCAAGATGTTCCCACTGTTTTCGTGGACGTTCAATGTTTGTACTTCCAGCTTTTTTGTATTTTTTAAGCAGTTTACGCGACCTTGTAATTTGTAGTATTCCTTATTCATTATAGATTTCTCAAATTTTAAATATGAGTGGTGGTTTTATAGGAAATGTTCTACTGCTTTATATTTATTCAGTCAGCTAGCTGTCTAGCAATTTATTACTTTTAAATTGAATTCTTTTTAGGTGTCGAGGGTTTCAGTGTTAGCGCGCTTATGTCTATCTTTATGTCAATCACTCGAGTCATTCCCACGGAGCCGCCATTCGTCCCTACTGTTGTACCTCATCTGTCTAACGACGAACCAGCAGAAAATCTTCTACTTGAGAGGATAAATGGTTGCGTCCTTTTATATGACCAAACGTAACATGTTGTGCGAATCTGAGCACTTGATTCATTCGATTCGTTCCCTAGCATCAATCATTCACGAAGATCTTCGAATTTGCAATTGCAAGAGTTCTGCTGCTGCTCGAAGTTTTTGGTTTCTCTATGGACGTTGTTGAATGCTCGTTGAGTGCCTTCGGTCCTTCCTGGAATCCTGAGATAAATCTACTGGAACGATCCTAGTTCTTGGGCCCAAATGCCATCACTGCTATCTATGGATCGTGTGAAGCTTACCTAGTACTATTTCGCCAACAAGGAGTGATCGGAGGCAGATGTGATTAGTTCGATGTGGAGTCGTACGAGGGCCTTGAGTGCTTTATTGGGCATTATCTCTGTTACTGAACTACCACTACATTTGTACAAGGAATGTTATTAAATATGTTATGTTGTTTCCACACACATGTTTCGTACCTACACATGTCTATCGATTTGGTCGGTTTCTTTTTGTGCCAGGTTAATACTGGTTAATGTGGTTTTAGTAAAAGTGGTTTCTGTTTACGGTTGCTCAACCTTCTGTTTTGCTGGGTTGTCAAGGGTAAGCCTATTACAGTTTTTGAAGCACTTCTTCCAATCAGGTTCTGTTCATGCTAGCTGTCTGTCCTTGCCCATCGTTGGATAACTATTTACTTTGTGTTCAAGATCGATTTCTGTACTCTTCGTTCTATGTTGAAACTATGAAGTTTCAATACATTCTTAGATTGTTAAGCTAACACGAGGTTGAAAAAAATTTTTATTCGCCTAACGTTTCGACCTCTTCGTCTTCATCAGAGGCGACGATCCGAGCCGGTGGTCCACCGTCGCTCATCTTGTTGATGTGCCGTCTTTGTCTTCGTATCGAGTCTAATCTTAGTGGAGCACCGTCTGAATAAGGCAACTTCACCCGGGAGCGGTTTTTTATATAGGACGATTGTTTTTGATAATGATTATCTGTTGACAATAGTTTGTTTTTCGACGGACAATCGTTATCAACTCAATACGAAGACGAAGTTGTCACATTGAGAAGACGACTGACTGTGGACCATCGGCTCCGTGGAAAACGAAGACGTCGAAACGATACTCGAATAAACATCTTTATCAATTTCGTGTTCGTCTAGTTGTCGAAGAAGATATTGATTACTAATTCCGAGCGGTTTGAAAAATATGAAGTTCCAAGTTAAAAATAATGTCAAGAGGCAAAAAGTGAACAATTTGCGTGACTCACTGGGCGTTTTCCTTTACAGTCGGTGTTTCACCGCTGCCAGAAATGTCGAAGGTACTGGGCTGATCTTAACCCTTTTATTTACTGCCTTTTTCTTTTTAATGGTAGGGTGTGTTACGAAATATAACTCGTTTATAATGCTGAGATATTTGCAAAACTCCGGACCGCAGGTGTATGCGGTGGGGAACGAACGCGCTATTGTCCTCACCGGGGAGTAGCGCACTTCACCACCACACCATCTGGGTCCTTCGTTTTGCCTGTCTATCAGCTGTTCTATTGATCATGCAACACGCACATGGGATCGAATAGCGCGTTCGTTCTCCACCGCATACACCTGCGATCCGGAGTTTTGCAAATATCTCAGCATTATATACGAGTTATATTTCGCAACATACTGGTCTGATTTTTAATGAAACTGTTTCGGCGGCTTTACCCTTCAAAAATGGATCCTCTCGATAGTCTATTTCTGTAGTGCATGACCAAATACACAAGGGAAAGCAGTCGACTTTGTTAGGGAGGGACAAAGTGGTTTAGTGAATAAGATCCTCATTAATGAATCGGTTGTTGTCGCTGGAAAGATAAGTGGTCGCGTGAGAGTCTCCTAGCACTTGTAATCGATGAGGAATGAGGAGACATTACAAGCATGGGTGTCACTGTTTAGTTCAGGTGAAATTTCATGACAACAGATAGGTGCGAAACAAAGAAAGCAGCGCGTGGAAGCAATATAGTGATTGAAACGAACGCTGTTTGTCGGTCAGATGCAAATGTTCAGGTATTATTCGCCTTGGTTTTCTCATAAGAACCAAGCCATCAATCCCGCAAAGAATATGGATTCTGGACCATCTAAACGTAATAACAATACTGTAGAAGTTATTCTATGAAATGAATGAACGAGAAGAATTACGTCCATTGAGTAGTCCAGTACAGTATACATTCAACAATGACAATGATATGGATAAATGACTCATCAACTTCAGTACTTTTGTTGATCAAAGAAATGTAAAGCTTAGGTGCTCACTATTGAATGAACAACGTACTGTCTAAAGATTCGTTTCTCGGCGTTATTGATTTTATGTGACTTTCGGACCATTGTATTCGGGGTGTTTTTTCCTCGCTTACTTTTTATTGCCCAACTATCCGTTGAAAAATGACAACGAAATTTCAGATGTTTCTCTCATGAGATAACAAACTCGTTACTACTGTCACTTCAATCTGCCTCTTGTTATCTCTTGTGTTTGAGGTGTGTTCGCTTTGACTTTTCTATCTTTTACGTCCTTTTACGTTTGTAGTAGGCGAATGGCAATCGGGGTCATGCATAGCTCTTTAGGTTATTACTAGATTAACGAAGTTAAGAAAAAGCGTTGAGCGCTGCATGTATTGAGGACCAGCCATATTTCCTTATCTCAGTGTGCTTATGCGGGCTTGTTATCACAAGGTTTAATCAGTTTTCGAGGTATTTTGAAATATTCCACCTGGTTTATGTAGAGAACGGCTTATCGTAAGCCTAATGCGCTCGCGTTTGCACTATTGGAATTCTGTTGTGGGTGGTGCTCATGCCACTGATGCAAGACTTGCCTACCTGAGTGTAAAAATTCGTACGTTACCTGTTTGGAAAGTACACGATGTCTTTTTTGCTGCATAAAAACTTGGCCTAATTAGTGACAAAGTTCTTGAATACATGAACAGCGAATGGACGTTGTGGTATCTGATGCTTCGACTTTAGAAGTAGTTTACAGTTCAGAATAGAGAAAAATATCCAGCGTTGAAACTAGCGAAAAAAGAAGTGGTTAGCATGAAAAGATAGTGTGTTCTATATTTTGAGAAACCTTGTCGCAATCATTTGAAAGAAGTGGTCTAAAAAGTAATCTAAGCGATTAAAATTTGTAGATGAAGGCAATGACCGTTCTGATTTTGGACATCATACATGGGGTCATACCTGTGATTAACTCAGACTCGATTTAGCAACTGTTCAGCTCTCTAGCTAACTTGGTCTTCTTCTTAGGTGCACTTGTGTCAGTTTATACTTTCAGCGAGCGCAATGGGCATGAGTAGCGGTTTGATCGTGGCCGGCATTGCCGGCGCAACCGCAATTGGCATCTCATTTGCCGCGATTCCGTTTCTTGCTCCAGCAATGCGTCGCGTCTGCATTCCTTTCGTGCCCGCTACCCCCGTACAACTCAAAAACGTATCTCGCGCTCTAGCCGAATGCACACCGAAGCAAGGCCCGCTCATTGATCTGGGATCCGGAGATGGACGTGTAGTGAGTTATACATTAAATCGTTCACCTTTTCTGTTTCAGATGAAGTTCGGCGAGCAGCTGGCTAGTCACTTGACACCCGAATGGCGCAAGCAGTACATCAACTATGAGGCACTCAAGAATCTTCTCTATGACAACATGATGGAAGTTCCATCCGAAGAAGAACGCCGCGAGGAGCACATTGCTCAGATCGATGAGAAATTCTTCAATGAATGTGAAAATGAGCTCACTAAAATTAATCTTTTCTTTTCACAAAAGATAGCAGAAGCCCAAGGAAAATACCATGAGTTACAGTCTGAACTCCAGATGTTTAAGGAAGTGGTCCAGTCACGCACCGAACCAACAACCTTGAGAAAGAGATTTGGCGGTCGTGATAAGCTGCATAAGGAGACTATTAAAACTAGTCAACAGTTAAAGCTAGCATTCTCAGAGTTCTATCTTGGTCTTGTTTTGGTGCAGAATTACCAACAACTGAATGCAACAGGATTTCGGAAAATTCTCAAGAAGCATGATAAGCTGACCGGGAATGAGCGCGGATTGGACTGGCGAATCAACAAAGTTGAAAAGAGTTCCTTTTTTCTCAACCGAGAAATTGAAACATTAATAAACAATGTTGAGACATCAGTAATTAATGAGCTTGAAGGTGGAAATCGTCAAGCGGGAATGAAGCGTCTCAAAGTTCCTCCACTTTCAGAGAAGCAAAAACCTATCACTACTTTCTCCCTTGGTCTTTTTATGGGCGCCAGCATTATCCTAATTCTATCGATACTTTTGTCGTGGTGGGGAGCAAGCACACGCCCTAACGAACCTCAATGGGTTGCGGTTCGGTTGTTCCGTGGACCGCTTCTGTTATTTCTCTCAATTTTCATGTGTGGTGTGAATATGGCTGGATGGGCAGGTGCTGGTGTAAATCATGTGTTGATTTTTGAAGTCGATCCTCGTCATCATCTTTCCTACCAGACACTAATGCAGATAGCGGCATTCATGATCATGCTGTGGGCATGTGCGGTTCTCGCTTATCTATATGCTCATCTTATTCATATACCCCCATTTGCCCCTCCTCTGTTGCTAATGATAGTATGTGCCGTGATCATGTTCAATCCTCTCTCAAAACCAGATTATCTGTTTCACAAGAAGTCGCGATGGTGGCTGATTCAGCATTGTTACAAGTGCTTCACGGCTCCACTTCATTTTGTCACCTTTACGGATTTCTGGCTGGGTGACCAAATGAATTCACTTACTACAACCTTCCTCGACTTTCAGTATTTCTTATGTTTCTACTCGACAGAGGTCGACTACTCATTAGACAATTTCCTCGCGATTCGAGCAATGAATGCTACCACCGGTGCGGTGCCATGGGGCTATGTTGACATAACTACAGGCAAGGATATGTGTATGTCTGCGTCAGGAGTACGATCATTCGTGTCGATCATTCCGGCTACCGTTCGATTTATGCAATGTCTACGGCGATATCGTGATACCAAGCGCGTCCATCCACATCTCGTTAATGCTGGAAAGTATTCTACTACGTATCTTGTAGTAGCCTGTGGAGCTTTGAACAAATGGGCTGAGAAATCTGATCCAAACGTAACATCACCATTTTTTTACATATGGATCGCATCTTATATCCTTTCTTTCACTTACACCTTTTTATGGGATGTCTTCATGGATTGGGGCTTGATTGACCCTCGAGCACCAAAAGAAGCACCGTTTCTTCGTGAAGAGATGATTTACGGGAGCAAATATTATTATTACGCTGCTATAGTCCAAGATTTTGTATTACGTCTTTCGTGGGTTCTCAACGTGTCACTGGGCGAAGCGTGGACGCTGGACTCTGATTTTCTTACGACCTTGACAGCACCGGCTGAAGTGTTCCGTCGTTTTATTTGGAATTACTTCCGTCTTGAAAATGAGCATGTGAACAACTGTGGTCAATTTCGGGCGGTCCGCGACATCTCGGTGAAACCAATTCGCAAAGGAGATTTAGAATCGCTGTTGTCCAAAATGGATCAGTGTGATGGAGTCACACATAGAGGTCAGGATCTCATGGAGAGAGTGAAGAAGCAGAAAAAAGTCCAGAAGACCACACGAACACTCTTGCGAAAGGCGCGTTTCAACCGACTCATTGCACCGGTTGTTTCATCGGCTGCTACAACCCTGGTAGAAACTCAGCAATAGCTTCATCTAATCAACTAGGTTTTGCGGTTCATCGGAATTAACTCGGTAAAGTTATTCTCCTGATTTCCCCACTGACTGGTATCTTAATTATCTGCTAGGATAATTGACTTGTTCATTCACTTGAGTTTGTAGATATATCGTGCATTAATCATCATTCCTCTAGGGCATATATTGTCATATGGTTGTTATTCGTTATTGCTCAATACATGGTGTTGACACAAGTAAGTCGAGTACGGCTAGTCGAAAGTATAGTTTTAAGTTGTTTGCTATATGTTGTCAATTCTTTTTATGAGAGATTATTGCTTAGTATTTATTCTTTTCTGTGCGTTGTTGGTTGGATACCACTTACATGAAGAAGTTGAGTGATAGAGTTTTATATCTACAAGATTGGGGTTCAGGTTCAACTATTCATTATTTATGGAGTCATTAGCGTTCAGTAAAAAAAGCTCTCGGTCAATCCCTGAGGGATGTGCCATGCATTGGACTTCATTATCGTTTGGAGGTAATTGAATGTATATCTGGCCTTTACAATGACTCGCGGTGACCTACCGATGTATCGAGCCAGTGCTGCTATCCTCCCAGACAAGTCTGGTACCAATTTGCCGACTCCGGAAGGATGGAAGGCTTGGTGAGCCAAGGGCGCCGAGATCGCTTCCACGCTAACAGGGCGCGTGTGTTGCAGTGGCGCCTCCAACCACTGCACGACACGCGCCCTGTTAGCGTTCAGTAATGAATTAAAATCGGTACTGAAGCATTTTGATTTCGTTTCGAAGGCTGCTCCTTGAAATCTTACTTTTTGTTTGCGGTCACACCGTGTAACTCCGTAATGATTTTACATTGATTGATGTGTTTTGTCTTCCCATTCCACGGCGAAATTAAGTTGTGTAGGTTATGCAATGTGCCTCCGAAGGTATCGCTAGTACCGGAGTGGAACTGAACGGGATCCTGGTGGCGTATTCGAAGTATCGTGCTGCTAGAGCTGGTCTCAGTAGCAAAGCTAGATTTCGCCGAATGGATATTTTTAAAACCGACTTGGAACGTTTCAATACGGCGCTGATATTCGGTGCCGAAAACATGGTAGGTGCTCATTTGTGCTTTGTGCTAATAGTAGTTTCAACAGATACATACGAATTGCTGCTTAGTCGGTTCTTGGAATTGTTAGTTTTCGCAGAATGGCGACCTGCAAAATTACCTGAGCATGTGAATGTCGTCCTTCTAGTTTAAATATCTCGCTTGATAGGTTACAGTTTTCTAGAATGGGGTTCATATAATGGGATATAAGGATTCATATTGTGCATTTTAAGCATGAAGCATATTGCAGATTATTTTGACCCTATACTGAACTCTAAGCTGCGATGTGTCAAAATTGTAGAGAAATTGTTAGCAGTAAGGTTATTAAGATAACTGTTCATGGCTTCCAGGGTTAAATTTTCTTAGAGGAAATATGATCCATTGCGACTGAACAAACCTCCAACAAAGCCATTAAGGTGTAGACGGTCATTTACGTCTTGGTGCTTTTCTGGCCGTTTGTTCAGTCACATTGAAGTATATCCCTTCTAGTGTAGAAGAGCCAGAGAGCGAGTCTCATGCGTTTATTAGGGAGATTTTCTTCAGTTCTATGAATGGCGTAAATAAGAAATATAAGTGTAGAAGAGAATTATTTCTTGGAAATAGCGAGAGTTTGTTGTTCGTTGTTTGTTCCATGTCTTAAACTTCTTGAGTGCAATGTTTTGCTGATTAAAATTTTCACAAGTCCCAAATTCTACTTCGCCGATGCTTTTTTTTCGTTCTCTAGTTCAATGGAAAGCCATATTACAAGTATTTTCTTTGTGGTACTTTTTACCAACATCTCTTTTAGATGGTTGATTTACTACCGAAGCTGAGTGAAATGAGGTCGGGTGCATCGTTGTTATGTTGTCGATTCCCTCTTCCTGAATGCGACCATTTTAAACCAATCGCTCAAATTGGCGATGGTATCGATGCTGTATACGTATACGAGAGGATATAGCCTATTCAGCATGTTTTGTTGGTCACAGTTACTAGTTTATTTGTTGTTATTGCCATTATTGAATCACAGTTTCTGTATAAATCTTTCGTTCAAATCTCTATGTTATCGTCATCAGTGGGCTCTGCTCCATGAGGTTTGTCGTTTCTAAGTCTGACCTGTTTATTGGAACACTGTGCTCTGTTCAGGATGTATCCATTTCAACAACTAAGAGGTTAAGAGGTCAGATTCTGCCCTATGCTGCTCGTCATGCGGTGTCTGACTGTCGTACATCAGTCGCTCTCCTTCCACCGGCACCGTGCTACCTACTATCAACCGCGCAGGGGCATTGTCCCCGCTTTTGTTAGGTATGTACTTCTTGGCATTTAAATTCCAGCATTCTCTCCAATTCTTTCTTTGTTTATCTCTTTTCGACATCACTCTAGTGTTTTTGTATCACTATTGACTGATGTGATGTCGGCGAAGGATTTGTCGTTATTGTTTCCATTATCTTTGACAACCTGAACCTAATAGAAACCAGCGAGACTGTGGAATACTTTATTATTCTAGTTTTTCTTTGTTTATCTGGGGAATCTAGTGACTATCCTAGTATTTAGGTCTTTTTTGTGAAGTTGATTGCCACTGACGCGTCCTTTTTTCAGACGGTTCTTTCTGCGTTATCCTCAAGCTCTTTCGTATATGTTATTCTGTGTGCTATCCTGCGCATTGATCGGCCCAACACTTCCCTCGGTTCGTATTTAAGTTACTATCACTTTTTGGAGATCTAAACAGTCGTGGGCTTCATTTTGTATGGGTCCATGCTACGGGATTTTATAGCCAACTGACTTTTTGTGAACGAAGCACTGTGTAGCGTTCTTGTTTAGTTTTACTACTACTTCACATACACGCCAGAAGATTTCGATAAATATTTAAAGGAAACGACGGCACTTGTTCGTGAGAGGCAAAAATATGGTAACCATGCTAATTTACATGTGTTTTATTTTCTTTTACAAAGTAGCTTCACGTCGTGAAGGATTTCTTCATGCAGTATTTACTTTCTGTTTGACCAATCCTACTTCGGAAAAAAGGATTGGAACCTGCGATGAAATCTTCCTTTTTTAATTTAAAGGATCTTCATAGTAGAAGCACTTTCCATGAAATTTTTTTAGGAACAAATCTTTGGATACCCTTCTATTCAACGAAGAAAACACCAGAGGAAACATAGTTTTACATGTGATAGATGTGCCTGTTTTAGTTTTGATTTAATAAAATGTTGGATTTACGTGACACGTACGTTGCCGTCACATTCTTGGAAGTTCACTATGGAAACAGCAGAACACAGTAGAACAGGGCTTACCTAGGTAATAAGTTGATCGTGGTGCGCAAGCAGAGTAAATATTGCTATGCAATCTATGGCCCAATTTGTGGAGTTTGTTGAATAAAAGCATTCTGCTACCTATTGTAAGCCGAGCTCAAGGTTTAGGATGTGGGAACGCACCACATTTGCAATGTTTAATAGGATCGAATGAGTGGCGTAACCTCCAAAGAACGAGTGCCAAACAGCTTACCTTTTTTCTTTTTTTTTTGGAAGAAAACGTCGAAACGTTAGCTGAATGAAGCCTTGTAACAAACTCTTGTTAACTTAATGATCTAGAAAACATTTTTATTTTATTCGCCTTAAATTGGAACAGATAGAGTGGAACAGGTGCTCGAGTACTCAATTAAAACCTTGGCAGTTTTATCAATCTCAACTGAGAGGGGACACCAGTGAATTCTTTAACCTTTTGAGTACTTATCAGTCACCGTGATTCATCTTTGCATTGTCCACATCTCTAGTTCTCTCTGTTAAGGATTCATAAAGCAATTCATTAAAGAAAAGTATTGGTTTTTTGTGTATTCGTCCTTATCCTTTGATTCCCTTTCTTTAGACTATTCAACGTGGACCAAAAAAAGTTTGTCATTCCGCCCGGTGTCTTAAAGATCTATTTATTCTCGATGAGCAGTCAATTGAAAATCTACTCCAGTTCGTCGGCCACCGATATTATTCTACTGTCTAGAATTCGAATTTTGAGCAGTGACTGACATGAACAGCACCAAAAATCGTCAAGTTGAATCTGAATCCACACATATATCTGAAAACCTTTGGAAATGATAGATACGAGATCACGAAATGGATGAAGAAAACTGGTATTCGGACGATGTGTGATGTCGTATCGTGTATAGGTTGTGCTTTTTGGGCGCTATGGAGTTCAGAGCCATTACTATTTTGGATGGTACGGTGTATGGAAGAACACTGATAAAGGCAGACAGGTTAGTGTTGGAATTTTGATGTACAACTGCATCGGAGATATTGTGCCAGCCTGCTTGTCAAAGGCAAAGACAGTTGTGTAGTACAATGCCCGCGCAGCAGGCGGAGGCGTCGCTATGGGACTCAATGAGACGACCAAACTCCCCTTTCAACCAGTCTTGTTTTTGTAAATTATGCTGTGTGAAGAATAGATTCTCTCTAGAGACGTTCTGTAGAACTTATGTTTTAATGCTCACGATCTAGTATGGCGCAAAAGGTATCGCAAATAACGATTACGCGGCAATTGCTTACACATGGAGAAGAGCCCCGACACGTATGAATCACGTTTGACTCACATCTTTCATAGTGTGTTGAAGTCATTTGGCAGTTAGCAACTACATTTCATGTTCCACCCATAAACCTCTTTATAGGAGGGTGATCTATTCGAAATAGAACAGTGGTTGTTTTGAATAAGAAAGATACTTAATATGACCCCGAACTAAGTAACAACTTGAAGAACTTTCCGGACAACTTAACAATTAACATACTGGTATCAGTCATTCTTGATTGCTGCTTTCAAGTGAGTCTCAGATGCAAATACTCGTTTTGTTTACCTGCTTCTCTAATGGGTGTTTCAAGCAGCTATAACAAGGTTTTTCTACACGTGGGGAAGCTCAGCTGGATCAACAGACCAACAATGAAAAGCGTTGGTCGCTGCGGCACTTTTTTCCGTCCTCAACTCAGTGGTTGCTTCGTTACGTTTGTGGTTATGTCGACGATGTACTTTGCAAAGAGTGTTTGATGATGGATGTGTAGTGCTCCTCGGGGTTCGATTCGGAGTTTTTGGGTTTTCTTTATGATTTCGATTCGGACAATTCTATGCTGTAGGAGAAAATCCGACAGCGCATGAAACACATAGATGGCGATAGGTGTAAACGAAGTTGAAGACATATCGCATAAGAGGAAGCGCATGTATCAGATCAGTCGTTTGAACCGTTTTTCTCCAAGTAGCAAATGTGAGCCTATTAGGCATCGGACTGGCGAAATATTGGAAAATTATAAGTAATGTGGTTTTCAGCAGCTGGTTAGATTCATATAAATCATTAAAATGGTTCAAACTTCATCAGGAAATTTATCGCTGAATTTGAAAGACGATAAACTGAAGAATGAACGGAAAGTCGAAGAAAATTTGCAAATTTTTGCTTTCTAAAGAAGACAACTTTTAGATTTTTCTGCTTATAAAATATGATAGTTCTCAAATGGAAGTGATTTGCGAGACATTGGGGCCGTACTGACTGAACCCACCATGATAAAGTACGGTCGTGCGTCTATGTGGTGGTGGGTCACCGACTGACGGATAAAGCTCTCTCTTCCTCTTTCTCTATTTCTCTCGGCGTTGATCAATTCCTGAGGTATGCGCCATGCATTCGACTTCATTAAGTATCGTTGGATGCATATCTGGCCTTTACAATGACTCGCAGTGGCCTACCGATGTCTCGAGTTAGTGCTACCATCCTCCCAGACAAGTCTGGTACCAATTTTCCGACCCCGCAGTTACTAAAGGATTGGTGGGCCATAGGCTCCGGGATCGATTCCATGTGTGTGCTGCAGGGCGCCTCCAACCACTGTGCCACACGCACCCTTACAGGTATTGATATGTGCAGTTAACGAGTAGCGTCAAGGAATCGCATAGACTCTTCCCATATTCAATCAGCATCAGTATGAATCTTAATCCAATCAGAAATTGTTTGCAAGTGTTTTCCGTATTAGACATTAGGCAAGTTGGCATTCCACAATGCCTTCCTGTTTTTTCTTTCTGTGATGTCCAATTTTCCCTTATGTTTGATAGTAATGCTTTTCTTTATAGATCTTACATGCACCACTCGTTTCTTATGATTCCCAGATATTTTTTTGATCAAAGAAAGTGTCGATTTTTTGTCGAGGTTTAGTGGAAGTCGGTTTTAACATCAACCGGAATTTATGTGCCAGCTTACATAGCACCGACTGCTGCAGGACGCGACGCCAAAAATCCAGCCCATATTGAATGACGGCGGTAGATCAACATCCGTCCTGTACAAAAGAGTATCTCCGAGTGGTAGAGGCTTTATAGAGACTTGAAAAAAATTTGCGTGACGTCAACTTTTTTAGCCTCCGGGAAGGGTAGTCGGGGGTTCAGTTCCTACCGCAGACACCTGCCGTCTGGAGTTTTGCAAAGATCTCAGCCTCATTGTGGTTGAAATTTGATTGCTTCTGTTTGTTCTAATTCGCATCCTAACGTGCGCAATGCTACCATAATAATTCACCTGTTCTTCATCGAGTAGAGCGAAAAACGAAATGTTGTATTCACAAAGGTCTTCTACGAGATCTTGTCCCATTATGCATAGTAAGGAGCTTCCATGAAGCCTAATCAATTGACTAAGTAGACTTTCTTGTATGGACGCCATTTGAACCATAGACGGAGTCATAAAATATATTGGCATTATCACCTACTTTCTCGATATTGGAAGAGGCTTGTCAAGATATCCCATTATGTCAAAGCTGTTCACCACCACGTTGGTTTTGATGGTAAAGTTCCTCAAATGAATTGGAATGATTGTATGTGTATATTGCACAACAGCCTTGTCAACAGTGCTGTAATTTCTTTGCATCCATTTCAATTAAGATTATCAACGAATTAGGTGCCTTTATAAAGAATTGCCGCCTATGGTTGGGGAACTGCTTCGACTGCTTCCGAAGAAGCGTTCTCGAAGTGAATTTTAGTGGGGTTCGACTATATAAGTGTAATTTCATGGAAAAAGAAAATGACTGTAAGGAAGCCACAATGATGCTGAGAAATTTGCAAAACTCCGAACCGCAGGTGTCTACAGTGGGAACGAACGCGCCATTACCCTTTCCGGGGGCTAACGCGTTCACCACAACACCATGCGGGTCCTTCGTTTCTCGTGTCTCTCAGCTCTTGCCTGACTACAGCCTCAGGGACTCCCTAGATCAATCCCGTTGATGGGTGTTTGCTGATGGCGCTGATCAATCGAACTAACTGAGAGACAGGCGAAACGGAAGACCCCGCATGGTCTGGTGGTGAACGTGTTAGCCTCCGGAAAAGGTAATAGCGCGTTCGTTCCTACCGTAGACACCTGCGGTCCGGAATTTTGCAAATATCTCAGCATCATTGTGGTTGTTTCCCACGCAATACACTGCCATGAAAACTATAATAGGCAGTAAATAAGAAGTTAACATCGTGACTGTAAGGCTTCTACACTTTTTCAGATGATTTTTTTCTCGTTCGTGTTAATGCCAATTCAGCATTTTATTGTTGTTCCAACAACATCATTTATCTAATCTTTCTTTGATAAGCTTATGCGAGGTTGGTAAATAATGCTTATTACCGGCTAACGTTTCGATGGCTTCGTCTTCATCAAAGCCGATGATCCGAGTCGATGGTACACAGTTGTTCGAGTTCTCGAGATTGCGTCCTCGTCGCTTCGATGAAGACGAAGCCGTCGAAACGTTAGCATCAAAGAAAGAATACATACTGATTAGTGATACCGAGATCAAAGGGATCGGTTTTCAAACATCATTTATCATTGTATAAGTAGGCTAGGCAAGGATTTAGCCCACTCCAAGTTCTGAATACCACCAACAAAATCTGAGTATGAAAGGGTTTAAAACGCTTTTCAATCTTTATTTTCCAGTTAACGTTCTTCTTTTGTTCAGAAAAATTTCACAGATACTCACTCTTTGTTTTATAATGCGACTAGATTGTCATTCGCAGGCTTCTTTTTGAGTCGTTATGCCTTTGAAATACGGCCTCTGTATGCGGTTAACCTGAAATCTCTAACTTTTCTGGATCGCCTCAAGAACAACAAACTTCACGGGTAAGCCGTTCACTGCTACATTTCATAGAGATTTGAACTGAGGGCGAATTTCTTATTCCAAGGAAGAAACTGATCCAAGTCAAGTACAAAACTTCGTTATCTACAAAAAAAAGCTTAAGTGGGCATCGAGGAAGGGTCATTTCATGTACGAAGAAATTACGGCGTTTTTTGGCCTAATCTGATTGAATTGACTTTCGTATGACTCGATGGAAACAGTGGCTTTTAAATAAGACTGAATTCATTGATTGATTGGTTGATAGTCAGTAGTGGGTTTCTTAAAATTTTTGTTATTCGTTTAAGTGCATATTTGTGTGTGCTTCAGTCATAACGTTCTAATTCCTTCACGTATATAGTATACACATACACGTACAAATAGAAATACATATACACAAACTCATACACATACACGTACACACCATGTATACATACATACATGCATACATATATACCATACATACACACATACATACATACATACATACATACATACATCATACATACATACATACATACATTACATACATACACACCTACATACATGCATACATACATTACATGCATACACACATACATTACATATATACGCGCACATACATACACGCACATACACACACGCACATTTATACAAACAAACATACACACACACGCACATACACAAACACACAAACACACACTCATTCACACACACACGTGCATACACATACACACACGCACATACACACACACGTACATACACACACACACACACGCACATCATACACAAACACACAGACACATACACACACAAACACACACACATTCACACGCGCACGTTCATACATATACACACACGCACATACACACACACGCACACACGCACATTCACGCAAACAAACACACACATTCACACACGCACGTGCATGCACACACACACACACATACACACACACGCACACACACGCACACACACACCACACACACACACACACACAACACAACACATGTTCACATGCACACACGAAACCCCGCTTCAGAAGCACACAATGCCTGCACTGAACGTCACTATTTAGCTCTTTCTGTTCATTGGCAAACTCTTTTAGAAACACGTTCCATGGTGATGTTGACATTAGGCAAGAATGAGTGTGGCTCAAATCACTCTATTCTTTCTGTACTACTGTATTAGTTTTCCTGTTTGGTTCTTCACAAACGCGTTCTTCTCCCTGATCTGACTTCGTTTTTAAAAATGTCCAATATCGCTCGGAAATGAAATGGACAGATAATTGCACTCCAAGGAACATATTGGTGGTTTCACCATGAAAAAATATTTACGATTGATTCTCGACAGTCACACTGCTATATATTAGAATTAACCGACCTCGACAAATGATGCCCGAGATGCGTTGGACAAAATGCATTCAATGAGGATAAAACGACCGCTTTCAACCGACATAAATGATGAAAGACAAAGCTCTCGGCGTTGATGAAGCTCGCAGGGACGAACTATGCATTTGATTTCATCAAGCATCGGAGAGGTGGTTGAAGGCATATCTAGCCTACACAATTACTTGCGGTGTCCTTGCGATGTACCAAATCAAAATCCAGATCCCAGAACCTCTTAAACCAATTTATCCCAGCTCATATCCATTTTTGGTTCAAATAAAACCCACTAGAACTTTTCATTCTTTCTCTGCCAAGTACAAGTTACCACATTCTGCTAGGATTAATTTCTAGGTTATTGGAGCACGCGAAATCTGTTCTTTAAAACTATTTTGCGTTAAAGCTTCGTATTCCGAACGAGAAATCAGTGCTGAGAACCACTATTTCGCCCATCAAGACATATTACTGTTTTTAAATGTATCCCTTGTGTTTGCAACTGCCATTTGAGCGTTAAAAATCTTTAAAAATCTAGTTACATCTGCAATTTCTTGAAAATTTTAGCGCGAAACATATTCGGAACTGAAAAAATGCGGTATACAAGCTATGGATGCGATTAAGGTGTTAGAGCGAAATCTCTTGTGTAAATCGCTCTGGTTCTCGACTGTTCCAATAATCCGTTGATCGGGAAATCATCGCCAGCTGTCGAAGAACCAGATTCAGGCGTTACATATTAGACATATAGATCTTCTCACCATATAATCTACTAACGATAAGATCTAATAATGACCATCGAGTGAAAATGTGAAACAACGATTCAAAAAAACAATTCGAAAACCAATAACCGACGTTCTTTGATTATTAAGCTAGCACGGAGCTATTATAAAACCTTACTAAGCTAACGTTTTTCGAATAAAAGTGCAGTGCCGAGTGAAAAACCTCCTGCGAGCGGTGTTCCACTTCACTTGATTCGACTTGGTGTGAGTACGGAGACACACGTCGCAAGATCGAAGGGCTATGGAAAATCCACTTGAATAGTTGAGGCCCTGAAGGAGCCGAAGAGGTCGAAACGTTAGCCGAATAAAATTTTCGTAACAAACTCTGTAACTTCAATGAAAAGGATAAAGCTCTCGATGTTGATCAATCTCTGAGAGATGCGTCATGCATTCTACTTCACTAAGCATCGTTTGGAGGTGATTGAATGCATATCTGGCCTTTACAATGACTCGCAGTAGCCTATCAATGTGCCGAGCCAGTGGTGCTATCCTCCCAGACAACTCTGGTACCAATTTGTCGACTCCGTAGGGATGGTAGGCTTGGTGGGCCAGGAAAGCGGGAATCGATTCCACGTGTGTATTGCAGAGCGCCTCCGACCACTGCGCCACACGCGTCCTGTAACCTCGGTAGTCTAAGAAAATATCGATTAATTATGGTTAGGTTAAATGAAAGTCGGTTTTCGCAGTATATCACATGAGCTTTTATACTGTCTTATGTTTGCAGAAGAACTGTACAGTTGTGTTATAAACTACAATAATGCGATTTCTACACCATCTCTACTTGAACACAGCGGCATGCAGAGCTACACATTATGCATTCGAAGCGTCGGCAAAGAGCAAGTTCGAGCTTGATGTCTTTGGCTCGAAGTTCGTTGATTGTTCCTATTGACTGACCATTGGTTACTAACGTAAGGATATGCCTTAAAACCTCACTAAACCTCCGTCGTTTGCACAGGGAATCCAATTGATATGATGTATCTCTGGCGGGAAGAATTTGCATATCTCTCCGTGATATCGTCGCTCAAATCTGGTTCTCTTCATCCTTGGCACAACAAATCTGGGTCATCAGGAACATCACCTGTGCAACTGTCTTCATATATAGGATCCGTTCATCCACCAGTGAATCAAAGTGCTTTAGCTCATGGCTATAAATTTCTTACTTCTAATTTTATCCCGAGAACCTCTAAGGCTTGCTTCTTTTAGTTTCATTCTGTGTTAGAATACGTCATATCTAAAAGAAATGCTAGCTACTTTATCTACCACCGAAGTACTTGGACAATAAATGTACTCATCACAGCTATTCGTTCCTCTTAGACTAACTTATTCGCAATGAAGAGGTATGATGTACATTTTGTGTGTTCCACCTATTATAATTGTAGATGTCACCTCGCTCGGTGGCCTTGGTGGCTACAAGTCTGGGATGTTTTGCCTTAGTCGCCTGTCTACTATCTTTTCCAATGATCCTCACTGAGATTAGCAACATTCATGCCGAACTCGACGCCGAAATCGAATCGTGGAAGCTGGAAACGGATATTCTGTGGAGGGACATGCACACATACGGGCGTATCCGTCGTGAAGCGTACGGGTCTTCTCCTCACCGTTCAAGCTTCTCCGGTACACAGGTAGTGTTAAATCGCATGAAAAGTGATAGCTCAACATTTCGGAACGAATTTGCACGTTTCAGGGTCCCAGCGCGTTCGGAGAACAGTCACTTCAAGGAAATGTCAGAAGACCATCTCATCAATTTGCAGCAAACGGTCATACTCCAGATACCGTTGGAGTTGCACCCGGTCTAACTGGTAGCAATAATAATGGCAATAGTAACCGCAATAGCAACAACAATGACGGTAACAGTGACAGCGGTCACAACAGCAACAACAACAACGTACTTCCATTAACTGATGGAGCTCCGTCGAGTTAGCCATTATAGCCTAGTCATAACTGAAAAAATATCGAAAATATCGAACGGTTTTCCATTTCAGTCCAGCCCAATGAGAACTGCAACTGCAATCTTGAGAAGACATGTCCACCAGGACCGCCTGGTCCCAAGGGCGCTCCTGGATTTGATGGTCCCGAAGGAGTTCCAGGAGTTCCTGGATTTGATGGACAGGACGCTGAAGATGCAAAAGCGCAGACACAGCAGTACGATGGATGCTTCAACTGCCCACACGGGCCGCCAGGACCTCCTGGTATTTCCATAGTGTTTACCAATCCTTTCGCCTTGTTTCAGCAAATTAGTGATTACTTCAGGACCGACTGGAAAGCCCGGACCTCGTGGTATGCGTGGAGCACGTGGTCAAGCTGCAATACCGGGTCGTGATGGACAACCTGGGTTCCCTGGAACCCTCGGTGCTATCGGAGTTCCAGGACCACCTGGTGAAGAAGGACCCGAAGGAGAACCTGGAGAGAATATAGAACATCAGATTGGAGTTCCTGGTGTTAAGGGACAACAGGGACCACCTGGAGAGCCAGGAGATCAGGGACTTCAGGGCGACACTGGCGCTCCTGGGCAACCAGGAGCTCCTGGAGAGCGTGGTCCTCAGGGAGAGAAGGTTCGTTCGTTTAAGCGCTAAAATTTCTTAACGAGTTTCTTTTTTTCTTAGCGAGTTTAACTCAAGATTTGTGCATTCCTTGGAGGTAGCTCAAAGTAATCATTTCAGGGAGATGCCGGTGCTTATGGGCCTGCCGGAGAACCGGGAGAGGAGGGAGAGCCCGGAAAAGATGCCGAATATTGCCCGTGTCCCAAGCGCAATGTTGCTCAAAATGTACTGGCTACTGAATACCAACGCTACTAGGTAGCTGTGAAAAAATTCTACATGTCATATGAAAATGTGTAATACGCAATAAAGCTTACATCAAGTGTTATTAATAATCCCTGCTGTGTTCTACATGCAAGATCTATAATTGACTCTAACATAGTTAATAACCTTAATAACCTTCTACATGATTAAGCTGTTGCGAGGTTGGTATAAAACTTTCGTCATTCGGCAGGTTTCGGCTTCATCGCCTTCCTCAGAGCAGCGTTGATCCGAGTCGATGGTCCCGAAATGGTCATCATTGCGATGTGGATGTTCGGTTCACACCAAGCGGAATCCAGTAAAAAGAGCATCGATCAAATGATTCCCTTCACTAAGCCGTGTCCTTTTATACAAGACGGGTGTTGGTCGATTTCCGTCTCAAATATGATCTACTCTGAGCGCGCAAAGCATCCTGCAGCAGTCAGCACAACATTAGCTAGCACAAAGCGAGCCCACTGAATTGTAACTGTCAATAAAATAGATGGTCTTAATCAAATAAACAACGTTCTCAGGATAAACTATACATACTTGAATTAAGGTCTGCGAGTTGGTAGTTCAAATAAAGCAGAATTAGGGAAATATAAAGTTAAGCACAGCTTGAGCCTGCTTGGAAAGCGCTCAGAATTGCCTCAGGAGGGTTATGGTAATGAACGGAAGGTTAAACAAGGTTAAACATCTTACTGAGGACCTTCGACTACTAAATAACATTCAGTGTACGTTAATACGACAATGGAATAACCCTTCCTCACATAGGATGGGAGCGAACTTATGCAGACAGTCGACGACTTTGGCGCGTACCTCACTACGGTTCAAGGAACCGAGTTTTTTGCGAAATCAGCTGAATCTTTCCGAGTTGCGTAGCCGAAAATTTCAGAGCTGTAGAAGTTTAGGAATCCACCCAAATGCCTACCTCATACAATTTCTTCATTCACGCTCACCGAGATAAATACTTTGGGCGGAAAGGGTTCAAAAAGGTTCCGAACCACTCCCTAACACAAAGATCTATGAGTACCCCAAACCCATCGAAGCACATCACTCCGTTAATCGCCCTAATAAGCTCATTCTCAGCAACTAGGCTTCTTTATACTGTAAACAAAGCTATGCGGTTGCCCTACAAAACGACATGAGCAAAGTGTAAGAAAAACGATGTTTATTTGACCTCGTTATGAAAAATTGTCTTTTTTGGTGGTGACGGCTTTCACGGCCAAGACACTGAAGCCTTAACTACTGTAAAGAAAACAGTTAGGCAACAACCTCGGGTACGACTGATAATCGAAAAATGAAATAAACAAGTTCGTTGCCCTTGCAATATTTATTGTCCCATAGTGTGCTGTTGACGGATCTACTAAAATAATTTTTGCTTTTGAATTCCAGTCCGTTGTCATCCGAAAACCATTGTGACACAGCATTGTGACTGGATTTTAGCAAAGTATTACTCCTACAAAAAACATCGTTCCGAATTAATATTTTTCTGATGGTGTCAGGAATAACACTGTTCCGAAGGAATTTAGGTACACGGATCTTCACCATGTACATCGAGATAGTGACGAAGCCACTTGGCCCCGCCACAGCGGTGGTACATGGGGAGGGCTATAAGGGACGTCCCCAGGAAAGCAGCTGGCTCCAAAGAATGGTGTCTTTGTTCTGCGCGACCGACGTACATCTTCCATTTGTACGAGATGATCACATTCGTACGTGAGTGTACTTGAGCGTATTCAGATTTTATCATGTACGTCACAAAAGGCGCGTGTGGGCCGCAGTGGTCGGAGGCGCCATGCGACGCACACATGGGGTCGATCTCCGCACTCGTGGCTCAGCAAGCCCTCCATCCTTCCGGAGTCGGCAAATTGGTACCAGACTTGTCTGGGACGATAGCAATGCTGACTCGATACATCGGCAGACCACCGTGAGTCATTGTAAAGGCCAGATATGCAATCAATCACCTCCAACGATGCTTAACGAAGTCGAATGAATGGTTCATCCCTCAGGGATTGATCAACGCTGAGAGTTTTATGCTTTAGCCTTTATACGTCAGAAATGAGTAAGCCAGTGGTTAATGAAATGAAATGGCTTGCGATTAGGGTGCATACGCATTGCTTTCGGGAAATAACTGAAAAGGAAAGCCGAGGACATTACATACCACCCCAGCTCAACGGCCAAGATTAGAAGACGCAACCCTTTTAATAGCATTATGTGCAATGTCTGCGTAAAAAGAGGTAAAGAGGACGATGTTCATTGCGTACAACGCATTTCTTTCTCAGCCATTTATTTAGTCAGATGGCTTTTTGCTACTATGAGGTGTAGTTTATGAAAAGTTCTCTTAACTTAATATTATTCACTCGGGTACCTGGATGCTCCATCTTCACGAGTAGTGCGGACCCCACCACAAACTCACTCCTTTCCCGCTCAGCCGAGGTCCGTAGTGGTAGTCTACTTCGAAGAGCGTGACATCTGTGAGGCAAACAACGTAATTCAAAAATCGTCCTCGTCTGCTAATGTAGAAGGTTGCTATGAGCGATCCAAACAATCACCCATCGTTCAGGTAGTCGTCTCATGGAACGTTTACATCATCGTGGAGTCTACTCCGTTATTCTTTTCGTCCAGTACTTTCCTGATCTTTTTTTTTTATTATGTTTACGAATTATTTGTGCTTTACTGTCAATGTATGTGCTCTTTAATTTCGGAGGCGGAATAAGTTCTGAAAATATGAGCTGCAAATTTCAGGTAGACGTTGAGAGATCCTCTTAAATTTCACAAAACACTGTTCAAACGCCCCGTGGGTGGTCCACAGACTCCTTGATGTAGTTTGAATATCAGCTCATGCTCCTACTGCATAACAGAGCACCGAGAGGATCGTTGAATCGAGAAGGTGAGTGCGTAGTTTTTGACCTGTTAATTGGCTGGTGGCTTCGCTGAGAGATCCGAATGCAGTCCGTAGTGCCCTCTTTCTTCGGCTTGGTTCCTGCTTCATTTTATCCTCTTCGTTCACTGAAAGTCTTAGGCACACGTACAAGGCGGTCTCTATAACCATAAAACCATCCAGATCGATTTGTTCACCTTCGTACCATAGTTTCTTCATGAACTGCGTCTTTGTTCTATTCTTATGCAATCCAATATTTTTTCCCATTTCGCAGAGCCGACTGGGTGCAATGTCTGCTTCACTGTTACTACTCGAAAAAAAAAGGCGATTTCTTCAGAAACGACATCTTGACAGGAATTTGCTATATCAGTATATATGCCTTACTCGTACCAGTGAAGCGACTTCATTACCCACTGTACCACGGCTGTATACAGCATCAGCGACAAAGCGTCGTTCTGTCGAATCCTTTTTGCTATGGTCATGGTAACGGCGGTACTAATTGCTTAACTGGTTGTGTCTTATCTATGGTTTTCGATACGTGTGAAAAGATAATCTTCGTGAAAAACTTATAGAATACAGCCAACAGGCTTACTGGACGAAGGCTGCGAAGATTCCTTCGGCCGCACTGCTCAGGCAGCATCGTCGTAAGCGACGACCTTAGCAGGTCTGGAATTTTTCTTCTGAAAGTGAGGCGTCATAGGGATTGCAGAAGTAAATGTAGTTTACGACTTCCAGCACCCAGAACTGTGCTGGACGGCATAATCTTATGTTCATTAAAATGTGGTCGAGCTCCGCTTGAATCGTGCCCTTAGGACCTGCCCATGTCTATCGACACCTTTCTCTAATCTCAAAAAAGAAATTTTTATGGAATAGCTGTGATCACGACAAAAGTCCTGTAAAACGGCTTCCATTCTCACTTCGGCGTCCTATTTCAAATTTTGTTATCGTGTATTCGTTTTTGTTTGCCATTTGTAATCCAGTATTGAGGTCTTCATTAATATATTTTTACGGTTGCGGCACACCTCCTTAAGACGGTATTAGAACGCGTGTAATTCGTACTTATGAGCTGCACAGGCTGGTGAGTACTTGATGATACTCTACTCTTGAGCTTGGAGACCAATAATGGTCAACAGAATTGATCGTATCTCGTATGAGGTGAACTGATGATAGACAAGAGGGTGTAGGAGAAAGCCTACGCCACCGAAATGTCCCAGCGATGTCTTCTGTCCACGAATGGAAAAGGTCTTATAACTTAGTTGGTATTTATCCACTTTATTTCTTCCGTAAAGCAATAATATGGAATTTGGTACGACTAGCGTCCCCAAGAAACGCATATCAGCTTCCGAAGAGACTGTTCTGATGTTATGGGTGCGGCTCAAGAAGCAGTCTCCATAGAGCGCCGTGGGCTTGTTCGTTTGGCCCGGTTCTAAAGTGCAAATCGAGAACTGACAGCGTTTCACCTGTTGTCCAACCGCGCGACGTCGTTGACGGAAGCGGGCAGTGTAGGTGGTACTGAGGTTAGTTTTTTGCTGGTTGAGCTGTTATTGGTTCCCGTAGTGCACAGTTTGCCCTAGCCGAAGCTATCCTCTGTCCATCACCATAAGCACTTGCCTACCCTTGTGGATTAGGCGAAGATTTGCCACTTAGCGAATAATTGACACCAGAACGCAGTAATTGATGGTATTGGTTTGCTGCTAGCATGGGTGGCCGTTGGAAATGTCGAATTCCTACCAAGCTTTTGAGATCCTGCCAACGATATAATTCCTCCTCTGTACATGGCACTTCCACACACAGGAGCATAGCCCAACCATAACAAATATATGTACGAAGGGGGCTGAATTTACAAGATCTTTTTTTGAACGGGTTCATTTTGCGGTTGAAGAATATTGCTGTTAAGGAGAGTATGCATTACAGAGACTTACCGGTGAAAAAACGTGGAAAGTCTTCTACTTCTGGACTGGAATTCCAAAATTAGGAAGAGCTTTTCGCCCTTATCAGAGTGTCTATCGCTGAGGAGACTTTTTCAGAGTGGCCCGATGCCTACAGAGTTTGGGTACAACCACAGTTTGTGTGCATCAGCATAGTTTCTCTTCAGAAATAATCACGAAGTCTTTTTTACCAAGTACTTCACGTCTTT